CATGGATACTGGTGTTATACTGCTCTATAGTTTAAAGGACTTTACTCCATTCATTTAGAAAGTGAGTGAAGTATCAGGTACAGGAACACAGACATTATTTTCGTTAGTGTGAAGCCAATCTGGAAACTATTATTCATTCCCTTCCAGATGGTGTAACCCATTCTTTTAATAGATCGTTTTTGGAATTGCTTCTGAATTGCTTCTAGAGGCAGCTGTAACTGAAAATATTTTTGTACAACTTTGTCTAGCTCTGCTCCTTCCTTGGAGATGGCAAAACTGGTCACTATTATAAATGTGTTGATTACATTGAAATGCAGCCTACCCTTAAAGACTGTTTGAAAATGACACCTTGTTAGAATGATTTTGTCCGATTTATCACCAGAATCCCATTATTCAGAGTGTGTATTTATTACTTGTGCTTTTCATCTTAAGAACAGACAAGCATCTCGAGCTCTGAGGATTACCTGGGAAAGAATCCCACTGGAGCATTGCAGCACATTCAAATACCTGGGAGTCACTCTGGACTGAGCTCTGAGTTATAAGTAGCACTGCTTCTCTATGAAGCAGAAAGTGGGTTCTAGAAATAATATAATGTGAAAGCTGACTGGCACATCCTGGGGATCATAAACAGACACAATGAAGACATCTGCCCTTGCGCTTTGCTATTCTGTTGCTTAATACACATGCCCAGTGTGGAATATATCTCACCATGTTAAAACAGTGGGTGTGGCTCTTAATGAGACATGTCACATTATCACTGGATGTCTACACCCTACACCACTGGAGATATTATGTTGTTTAGCTGGTATCGCATCACCTGACATCTGCCAGGAAGTAGGAGCCAGCAATGAAAGGACCAAGGCATTGATATCCTTGGCTCATAATCTGTTCGGATATCTGCCAGCATGCCTACACCTTAAATCAAGAAATAGTTTACTATGATCTACAGATATACTCGCAGGAGCACCTCAGCAAGCAAGAGTCCAAAAGTGGTAGGCTAAAACCCAGCAGCTCAATCAGTGGCTGAGACCAAATGAGAGACTTCCTCTTGGGCACATAGGAGAGTGGACGACCTGGAAGATGCTGAACAGGCTGCACTTCGGCACAACGAGATGGCGAGTAATCTTAAGAAATGGGGCTACAAAGTGAAGTACACGATACGCGAGTGTAGAGAAGAACAAACCACAAACCACTTACTACAATGCAACCTAAGCCTGCACAATGGAGGACCTTCTTACAGTGACAGCAGGGGCACTCCAAGTGGTCAGCTTCTGGTCAAAGAACATTTAGCATAATGCCAAGTTTTTTAAATTTTGTGTTTTTAAATGCATTTTAACTGTACCCTCAACTCGCTTCTGACACGATAAATAAATACATTTATTAATGATATATTTCTGAGTCCAGTTTGATTTTTTTTAAAAAAATATTTATTTATATCCTACCTCCCCTTCTCAATTGGGACTCAAGCTATCTTACAAATTAAAACCAATGCAAATATACTGTTTAAGCATACCATTAAAATGTAATTAAACAATCAATAACTTTCAAACATACAATTAAATATAATAAAAAGCCATTTAAAATAGTACATTTAAAAGCAGTAGAACATTCTATTAAAAGCTCTCTCTTAAAAAGTATTCAGCTAGAGTTTTTCTTTAAACAAAAGAGCTTTCGGTATATCCACAGTGTAGAATTAATGCAATTTGACACCAATTGTACTGCCTGGGTCAATGCCATGGAATCCTGGGATTTGTAGTTTGGTGAGGCACCAGCTTTTTTTTCTTTTTTCTTTTTTACAGAGAAGATTAAACTTTAATACCATAACTGCATAGCATTCCAGTGGTAGTTAAAGCAGTGTCAAGTTGCATTAATTCTACACTGCAGATGCATTCCTTACTTGCTGACGGAAGGGCACCATCTTCCCTTTCAGCCTCCAGAAAGTTTATTTAACTGCTGTTGGTTCTATGTTGTTGTTTTATGCTATTGGTTTTAATATTGTCATCGCAAGGGTGGTAACACCTGAAAAAGCTGTGGGTTAGTGTAACAAAAATGTAACTTTGAGAACATCTAAACCAGGTATGGGCAAACTTCAGCCCTCCAAGTGTTTTGGACTTCAACTCCCACAATTCCTAACAGCCTACTAGCTGTTAGGAATTGTGGAAGTTGAAGTCCAAAACACCTGGAGGGCCAAAGGAGGACCAATCAACGCCAGAGCTCCCTGTCGGCCGTCACCATCCCCAGTTCTTTCAAGGTCAATCCAGTCACTTCAAGGATCCCATCATCCATCCATCTTGCCCTTGGTTGGCCCCTCTTCCTTTTTCCTTCCATTTTCCCCAGCATAATTGTCTTCTCTAAGCTTTCCTTCCTTCTCATGATGTGGCCGAAGTACTTCAGTTTTGCCTCTTCTATCCTTCCCTCCAATGAGCAGTTGGGCATTATTTCCTGAACTTTTAGCTTTGGTTTCATACTTGTGTGCAAAGACCAAAAAGAATGTTTGTAATATATTTGTATACTGCCCGTTTGTTAATAACAGTAACATTTTGATTGAGTGATTGATTATTTTCATTCCATTTTTGTTAGACATCCTTTTCAAAATGAGCCAAGATTCTTTATATCAATATAAAAATATAAGAAAGTGTAAACACCTAAAATAAAGCAGGCATCCATAGATGCCAAAAAATTTGCAGTTACCGCACATAAAATAACTAGAAGAGCTGTGAAAAAACATAGGCAATGAGGCAATGCAATTTAACTGATGTGTTAAATCATTTCATCATACAGTACATCAAGACTTGCAAATGCCTGGCAGTAAAGCACTCTGTTCTAACTCTGTGTGGTGTGGTGGACCAGCAGTTGTTGTTTTTCTCCAGTGTGCCAGAGACTGGTACCATATGTACGTTCATTGGCTAGAATTTTTTTCTTTCCTGGAAACTCTCCAGGAATTGGCAGCTACTGTCGTGGACTGGCAGAGCTCCATGGGTACCACTATGAACAGCAGTGGGGTAAAAGAAAGTCTTGATTTGGTATTGAAAAATGATAGTATCAGTATCAGGTACGGCATTTTAGGTGGGGAGGGGAGCATCACTTGTGTCCTTGCGTGCATCGACACTGCATAATTAACTGCTATGAATTAATACAGTGAAATAATTGGTGCTGTAGTTTCTTGAGGCACCAAAACTTTTAGGCAGGGAATGTTAAAGACCTTGCAGAACCACAGATGCCATGATTCCATCTGAACATTAGGAAGAACTTCCTGACTGTGAGAGCCGTTCAGCAGTGGAACTCTCTGCCCCGGAGTGTGGTGGAGGCTCCTTCTTTGGAAGCTTTTAAGCAGAAGCTGGATGGCCATTTGTCAGGGGTGATTTGAATGCAATATTCCTGCTTCTTGGCAGGGGGTTGGACTGGATGGCCCATGAGGTCTCTTCCAACTCTTTGATTCTATGATTCTATGATTCCATAGCTTTGATCCATGGCAGTTAATGTGGTGTCAAACTGTATTAATCTACAATGCAGAATACCCCTAGTTGCTGTTACCTAGGCATCCCATAGAACATCCCATAGAACCCCCTGCCAAGAACAGTCACTCAGTGAAAGCTTAGATTTTGATTTTAAATTGAAAGCATATTCAGGATGGGAGAGGCACTCCATTAGGTATTTTAGGCTATAAGTTAAACCAGGGGTCCACAAACTAAGGGTCATTTACCCGGCCCTCACTCAGGATCAACCTAAGTCTGAAATGACTTGAAAGCACACAACAACAATCCTATCTCATCAGCCAAAAGCAGGCCCACACTTCCCATTGAAATACTAATAAGTTTATATTTGTTAAAATTGTTCTTCATTTCAATTATTGTATTGTTTTAAAGTGTTTTTGCACTACAAATAAGATATGTGCAATGTGCATAGCAATTCATTTTTTTCAAATTATAATCCGGCCCTCCTACAGTTTGAAGGACTGTGACCTGGCCCTCTGTTTAAAACATTTGAGGACCCCTGAGTTAAACTGGGCTTAGGAACACACAGGGAGGCAATGTACATCAATTAGTGTTGCATGCTAAGACATATTCAAAAGTTTACATAAACTGCTGTGTGTACTATCTTTCAGGACAGTTCCATGTAGAATGCACTGTAGTAATGCAACAAAAGAAAACCACTGAAGCATGTTATTGCTATCCAAAAAGCTGAACCACTAATAAGAAAAAGACAAAAGGCACTCCCCACAACACTATTTTAAATGTATACTTGTAATTGATCTTTCTCAAGCTTTATTACATTTACTAGCTGTTTTGAGGAGGGCAATAGAGTTGTTTTGGTTTTTTTTGTCATGTCAGGAGTGACCTGAGAAACTGCAAATCTCTTCTGGTGTGAGAGAATTGGCCGTCTGCAAGGACATTGCCCAGGGGATGTCTGGATGATTTGATTTTTTTATCATCCTTGTGGGAGGCTTCTCTCATGTCTCCGCATGAAGAGCTGGAGCTGATAGAGGGAGCTCATCCGCCTCTTCCCGGATTCAAACCTGCGATCTGTCGGTCTTCAGTCCTGCCGGCACAGGGGTTTAACCCACTGCGCCACCGGGGGCTTAACCCCAATAGAGTGACGAATAGTAACATATAGTTACTTAAATAAATAAATATCCAAGTGGTGCTATTATGGCAGCTTATTACAGATATTTTGAATGGAATTAACGAGAGTCTAAAGGAGTTTTAAGTGAAGAATAATTGGGGGACTGCTGTCAAAAATTGACAAATATTTTATGGATTCAGTTTTACTATTAGATACCTCAAAGAGAACATGTTCTTATGTATACCTTTTCTCTGCCTGGTTTTAGAAAGAATGTAGGCTGTAGTTATTTATGTCAGTACAATTCAAAATGTCCATATAAATGTTTCAGCTGCTGGTAGAATTATATTTTCAGTGTTGCTGGAAAACTGAATTTACACTTTTGTTGAATCAATACTCAGTTTTGTCCTAAAACATTTCTTTTGTTTTTCCCCCTGCAGTGTGACAATGCAAAGGGACTTAAAGCCTTTTATGATGCAATAAAATATGGACCTACACACCTAATGGTTTTTGGTGGAGTATGTACAACTGTCACCTCCATCATTGCTGAATCCCTAATAGGATGGAATTTGATCCAGGTAAGGAACAATACCTTGTATATATATTTATGGTGAAGCCTAACATTGTAGGATATTATTTAGAAAATTAGATATTTTCTTGATTTATAGTTCTCCAGAAGACACAAGTGGATCTCAGGCATGCATGGTCTACTTAAAAAAAAAACCCTACAGTTTGGTTGGTTGATAAAGAGATTAGTTTTGTGTGGATATATTGTTATTTTCCCCATTATTGTTGATCCTTAACTGACTCATTTTTATTTCACTGAAAGTTGGATTGCATTAAGAACGTTCACATCTGATATGTTCACATTTCTGAAAATATACAATGCCTTTATTACTTCAGACAGCCCTTTCGCAATCAATTGTCTTTTATTAAATATGTGCCAATCTCACATAATCACCTTGGAATCAGCCACAATGAATTTGCATTATGTTTTAAGCAACATTGCCTAATCGGCAGTTAAGCCCTGAGCAATTATTTCATTGTTCCTAAGCCCTAAGTCAGCAAACAGTGCTGAGAGAGGATTGACAGTCATTGCATCCATCCGCTTTGTAAGCTATAATCACCTGGAAACTTCTTGGCATGTGCAATTTTGCTGATAAATGTAAGATCTGGAAAATTCCTTTTTCAAATCAGTGCACATGCGAGCTGGAGGATTCTGGGAGTAGCAACCCAAGAAAAGAACAATTCCAAGATCAACGGTTGGCCAAGACATATTGTACGGACTCTTATACTGTGGTCAATGGAATTCATTTCCAGGAAAATTGTAGTCCTAAATTACTAGGGAATAAAATACATCTGAATTTATTTTCATGCAAACATGCATAGGACGGCCCCTGTAATGCAGGATGAAGGAAGACTCGGTTCTCTGGAGACGTTTGGTTAAAGATCCTGTGGTAATTATCTTTTCCAGGTCAGGTTTCCTGCAATCAGACAATGTTATGAATTAATGTAAAAGAGACCTGGAATGGGAGTTGCTTAAGCCTTGGTGATTGATGTGTTATCGATGAATATAGTTGAAATTTGTCATGATGATTTGACAGTGATATTGCTATAGCAATGGAGCCTTAATTGTGTACTAGCACAATTATATTTGATGAGCCTTTGAAGGGCAAATCCTGCATACTTAGCAGGCTACAAGTTCATTATCCTTTTCAGTGTAAAAACTGAACACTTGGGGGTTTTTTGGTGCACAGTGCAAGAGATGTCTTGTCCATATAACAATATTTTTATAGTATTCCTCACTAGAAAAGAAATTGATTCACAAAAGAAAAGCTTTAAAAAGGCAAAAGGATGTGAGAAAGGTTGTTTTAAAGTATATTGATAACAAGCGGCTGAATCGTTTGAGAGAGCAGAAAAGCCATTTGGCAAAAACGACTCTGCTGAATTTCAACTTTGAATTGTGTTCTTCATCCAGTCTTTCTATGTCTTCCTTTGGAAGAGTTGTAGTACTGTTATAGCCCCGTGAAAGCATGTGTTCAGCAGGGTATTGGCTCCTGAGAGATATTTCTAGACTTTCCCTGAATGTTAGCTTCGTTTCGGGGAACCGTTTCTCTTTTCTTTTACTAATGGACATGTAAGACAAGAATGCTCACAGTATTCTACTCAATTGCTCACCACAAGAAAGCTTGTTGCCATTCTTGTGGTCAATCAGCACAAAGACACTGGAAGTACTGAGGAGCCATTTGGCATTCAAAAATGATTTATGAATTAGCAAAACATTATTAACATTATTTGTTTAGCTAAATAACTTCACAGTAACATCATGGCATTGGCAGGGCTATTTTAGACATTGTACCCCAGTTTTGGATCTCTCTTCCATCAGATTGTGCCAGAAACCTTTGTTTCTCCTGCATCACTAAGACATATCTTGCTTTTGTAAGCTTTTGAGGAATAAGTAAGTGTTCAATAGGCCTTTGACTGGTGTTGAAAGTATTTTTTTATTGTATTTTAAACAGTCTGGCTTACTGTGATGAAAAGAGGAGTATAAATCAAATAAAGCACTCTTAAGAAAAACAGCTGCTGCTATTATTGTTGCTGCTATTACTAATAATATTATATTGAAATATTTGCTTGTATTTGTTAGATAGTCTCCAAGAATATTCGTACATCTGCAATCCAAAATTGCAGCTAGTGAAAACAGATATATTTCATCAAAGCTGATTTGAAAAAATGCCAGCAGATGTAATAGCGATGGTGAGGATTTTGGCACATGTTGGGCTCCCAATCCAAACCAGATGTGGGTGCATGCTTTTTCTTAAAAATAAAAAGACCAGGTAGATCTATACATTGTTTGTTAAAGATTTCTACAAGGTCCTGGGTGGTTTTGATGGCCCCAAATTAGAACATCAATGCCTTCTTGGTCTGACAGGACTAACTGTCTTTCAGTGCAGTTCTTTCAGTCCACTGATGGTGGGAAAACTGCAAATAATAGCTGCCTCCAGCATAACATTATTCCCATACCTTTCCTATTGAAAATCTTTACTAACTTTAAGGTGTGAGGGAAAGAGGATCTGTGCCTAACATGTCCTTGAGGGATGTTGTGGGGTATGTTGTATATGGTATATTTGACAAGTGCATATTTTTAAGACTATTTTTAGTTGGAAGAGTTGGTTCGTGGCAGCCTGTTATGAACCCTCATATTTAGTAATGAGGTTGTTTTGTAGGGAATGGCAGAGACATTATGCTTGTAGAGCTATTGCCATGTGGGATGGAACAGAAGCTTAATAAATGTTTATTGGTGACAAACTGCCTTTGAAATTGCCCTCAGTTTCAGGAGTGGTTTGATGTTTGGCATGGAGGGCTGCTGTCTGTGATATACAATCTCAGAAACACAAGCTCCTCGGGGCATGGAGAATGATGAGCTGTACACTTCTCCGAAGCCTGGCTGATCCTGAAATGGCTGTTTAGTTCTCTAGCTTATGATGCATTTTTAATGTTTATAATCTATTTTTATGAAATGTTATATATTTAGCTAGGGATGTGAAGGATGTTCTTTGTGCTTCTGAAAGTCTAAATCAAAAGGAGCCAGGAATGGGGAGGGTAAGGGGAGAGAAAGCAGAACTGGTTTACAGGAGCTGAGCTTGAAGCAATCAGCAGTCATTTGTGGCCGCTGCTACATCCACCATCACCACCTGCCTATAGAGCACTGCCAGAGGTCCCGAGAAGGAGAGATAGGCAGTAGCATATGTGTGTGTGTGTGTGTGTGTAGACTTTGTGCACTGCAGCTTCTTCAAGAAGGGATTCTGGCACTGTTGCTTTGAGACAGGCAGACCTCAGAGTTTTGGCAGGGTCTATGGCACTGTTAAATAGGTTGCCTTATGGCTGCATTGTAGCAGTATTACACAGACCCAGTGGGAGTTTCACACTGCTCCAAGCTGGAATAGCTTTCAATCTGAGTGATGCACAGATAGCTGGAAGGTCAGCTGAGAAGTCTTTTTAAAAAGGGCACCCATTCTGTCTCATAGTGGCCTCTTGTGTAAATAGAGGTGCTTCGTAGAGGTTGCTGAATTTTGACAAGGCAACAGTGATATTTCTCTGCTATTGTGCTAACCCTAGTTCATTTTGAAAAATATAGAAGATATATAAGGTTCCTACTGTCAGTTAAACAGCTATTACTTAGTGACAAAATGTGCCTGTCTGCCAGTCTGTAGTAATTCATTAGAATCTGGAAATAACATTGACACGTGGTTGTATGTGTCATAAGGACCTACTTATTCTGTTAAAAATAAATGCCTGTTCTTTTGTGCACAACATCTTTATCATGGCCGATCAACTCTAGCTGAAGCTAACATCAATACTGTTGGATTATTTTGAAAGATAATGGGCCGCATCTTTAGCTATTTACTCAAAGAGCTACAAAGGAGATAAAAGAAGTGTCAGCGTAAAGTGTTCACAATATTTGACCATTTAAAGTAGGAATAGTGGCTTTTAAAGTTACTTTTACAGGTTTGAAAATAATGGTACTAATAGAAGAGGTCATGCTAGCAGGGGGATTCTGGGTAGTCCAGTCCAAAAATGCAAAAGATCCAAGCTTTGCTTTTGAATGCATATTTCATATGTTTATGCATGGACTATTTATTAAATAGTCAGTGGTATTTGCTTAGAACAATATCTGTGCCCCTTGCCCAAAGTATTGGTGGTCGCACCCATTTCCCCTCCTGATAGATCAGTGGTTCCCAACCTTTGGTCCTCCAGTTGTTTTGGACTTCAACTTCCAGAAATCACAGCTAGCTTACTAGCTGTTAGGAACTGTGGGAGCTGAAGTCCAAAACACCTGGAGGACCAAAGGTTGGAAACTACTGTGATAATTAGCTGCATCTTGTAGATACCAAAAATGCACATGAATGGATGGGAAATAACCCAACGGACATACTAATAACACAGAGCCAGGTATAACCTGTGGGTGGAGATAAAGCACAGACAGTGTCATGTGTGATGTTTCAAAGCAGTAACATTTTTTTATGGTTAAAGCAGTGAGCTGGAAGTTGTTGTAGGGGCTGAGCAGTGCTCCCTCTGGTTTTACTACTAAGAGGTTTTATCAACAGCCATCAAGTAAAGAAATTTCATCACAGTAGCTCTAGGCTTTAAACAGATAACCCTTTAACAGCAATTTAGGAATGCTGCAGTTTATGTTATTTTTATGTAATTAAAAAGTGTGTAAGGAAAAGAATAATATTCCTGTTGCAGACATTCAAAACCATTCTTAAATTGTAGTGTAGAAGGCTTTCATGGCTGGAATCACTGGGTTGTTGTAGATTTTTTTGGGCTATATGGCCATACCTCTAGAACATGGCCACATAGCCCGAAAAAACCTACAACAACCCATTTTTAAATTCATTATTGGTATAACTGACATCTACATATTACTTCAACAGCATCATTTAAAAAAAAAGGATGCAAAAGCATTAGTTCTCACACAATTTGATTTGCACATTTAGGTTTTAATGTAAGAGGTTTCTGTTTACTTTTACATTTGTGAACAAGCCCCCCCAAAGGGAATTAAGGAGAAAACATG